ATGAATGTGACTAATCCTGGGTGACATAAAGTACATTGTCTAATATAATTTAGCAAATTATCTTCATCCTGTTGTGATGATAAATTCAACTTGCTCCTAGAGAAATTTGTTACATAATCATTGTATTCTTCAGAAGTGAACCGAATCTCTTTCAATCCCCATGTGCTATGTTCACTCAGTTGAAAAGGTAAAATTTTCATAATATCATCACTGTTTGGACTATAATCATATGCACCATGATAACCATAAGATGCAAATGCTACAATATATAGTCTACTATATTGTTGGATATCCTTAAATGTGTTCCAAAATTCCTTTCCTTCATGATGTGGTTCAGCATTTTCTGAGTCTAACCTATAAATTTTTTGTACCTCATCAACAATTAAAACAGTTTCAATATGTGAACACTCTGCTACAAATTGACGCCAACCAGTTCCTCTCATGAGCCAACTGAAGCGGTCAGAAAATTTCCAATTTGGATCATCATCCTCCATCCACAATAATGAAATTCTAATGATTCTCATATCAGAACAATCAGTCAAAAGTTGTTGTTCAAGAAGTTGTGCAAGTGAAGTTTTACCAGCCATTGGTGGTGATCGAATTAGAATTATTTTCTCCTTGAACAAGCATTCTTTCAGTTTATTTATTGTGAAAGCTCTTTGGCATATGGTTGGATCAGAGATATTTATACCTTCATATCCATGACCAAGTTCATTGCCTCCATATGATGTTCCGCCCATACCACCTAATCCATAAATTAATGTCAAAAAATAAATTGTTTTTTGTTTTTCCAAAAAAAAAAAAAAAAAAGTTAAGTCATACATAATATAAAAGAGAGATAAAAGAATGTATATATTTTCTTACCAAGCCTTGGTGTATACTTTTTTCTGAATTCATTTGTATCTAAAATGGTTGTAGTATTTCATAATAATTATTAATGATAAGCAAATTGATCAAGTATATAGAATAATAAGATAATTTACAGAATGCAGAAAAAAGAAGCAGGTTAGTCAATATTGTAAACAGTATACCAAACAAACAAACAAATAAATAAACAAAATGGAATGAATAAAAAATTATTTTTTGTATATTTTTTTATGAAATTTGTTCATTACCTTTTCCTCTACATTCACGCAATTTTTTATACCACTCCTGAACCTCCTTCTCCCACCTCTCTTTACTCTCCTCCAATTTCTTCTTCTTTCCTTTTAATTCTTCCATTCCCCACATTTCTTTAAATGACTCCAAGTTCTCCTTCTTCATAAATTCTTCCAAATCCTTCACTGCACCCCCCAACCAGTCTTCGGCTTTCTTTAAATTGTTTTTTATTTCTTGGATCGTTGTCATTTTGTTTAGAATTAAAAATTGATTTTTTTTTTATTGATTTAGATTGTAGTAATAGTAATTGTTACAATTAATTGTTTCTATATATAATTTGGACCAATGATAAATCAGTGGACACATGACTTGCAAATTTTTTTACGGGCATTTTAATGCAATGTGAGCTTTTTGTGTCACAAATCACACATACAGTTCACTCTCTCTATAACGGCCTGTTCGTTTTGGCAAAAAAAGGCCGTTATAGAGAAAGACCGTTATAGAGAGTTTGCAGATCATAGTCATGTGATAAATTATAATGGTGATACAATATAAAGA